TTCTTTATTTTTTTGAGCCCATACCCCGGTTTTTATGTAGAAAAAAGCATACAAAATATAGTTTTTTCAAAATATAAAATAAGGGTTGCAACCCCTTGGGTCATAAATATAAGTAAAAATAAATTTCAAATATCGATTATTGTACAGGAAGAAAATACGAAGTGCCCGATCGTCTGAGCAACAAATTTTGAAGATGCTCGACTTTTTTCTGCTAAATAAAGGCCTTGCAGAGGGGAAATTTTCCATTCTTAACGGCAAAAATGAAGCACAAAAGAAGTGGACAGAATTAACCAAAGAATTAAATTTAATAAAAGGTGCCGCTAAAACCTCTGAACAGTGGCAAGTGGTAAGCATTTCATTAATGTAATCTTTTAAGAAAGGTCTTCGTGTTTAAGGTGATGACTTAACTTCACACCGGTTAAATCATAACCGTTCCGTAAAAGGTGGAACCTGTTTTGGCAAAACCCAACTCTGGGAAAACTTCCGACTATTAATGTTTACGTGCTAACAAGGTATGGAGAGATTTGAAGAGCCGAACATCGACGAAAATCAGAGATCTTCGAAAACGTAAGGCAGCAACAGGAAATAAGGCGTTGGATCTCCCACCCTTGACAGTGATCGAAGAACGAATCGTTGGAATTGTTGGCACGAGTTACATAGAAGGAAATAGGGACTGCGCTGACAGTATTCCTGAAGAGGAGGTATATTCCGAATTATCGAAATCTTTTAGCACTTTGTGGATTTATTTTAGCAATGGATAGTCTGTTTTAGCAGTTTATCAGAAGGCGGTATATTGAATTCATAATATTCTTTATAACATAGGATTTACAAGAGGCGCTGGCTGAGGGAAATACGTCAGTCTTATCACTCCATCCTACGGTTTCCAGCATTTATATTAATAGCGAGATTCCTCTTCAAGAAGAATCAGCAAATGTTAGCAGTGAAGCCCCAAATGGTTTGGAAAATATTTCGAATTTTTAACTTTGGTTCTATTTATTATAACTTTAAAATTGACGTCGTGAGACAGAATGTTCTAATGATAACCTGGATAACAGTTTCTCCTATACCACCGACAAACGTATCAACATCATATCTTCGGGGTGAGAAGTGCAAAGTTCGAGCCTGTACTTCACGGACCACCAGAACAAGTAAGAATATCTGATATATCTGATATATTTGCGACAAATTATCTTCTATTGTTCTATTGAAAATGGTTTTGTTTTATTGCAGCTAACTCACAAACGTCTGAGGCTCTCCGATACTTAAGCTCAGCTAGGGAAGAGTTTCAAATGATTTTGAAGGAGCAAACTAAAGCTATGAATGTAAGGTCTAATTGCATACGTGTAAGAGCTGGTGCAGTATTTTTCTGTACTTATTGACCGAGAAGGAATAACGTCATTAGTCAAATTCTTGCAGATGCTTGCCGAAACTGCCAAAATACAAGCTGATGCAGCTATGCTAAATGCCACTGCCATGCAGGACTTAGCAAAAGCATCAATTCAACTGGCAGAAGCTGCTTCCGTGCAAACTGCAAATGAGGAAAAGCGAATTCCAATCATGGCCAAGTTGATAGATGTATTGTCCAATTTGTTGCCAAATTATTTGGATGAAAATATATAAGTTTAATAGATTGTTATGCCGTCGAGTTCTGTAGGATCACAAATAAATTGCACCGATTTGGAATTATATAGAGAACTATTATAGTTTATTGAAGTTGGTTTAATGTAAATACTAAGGTAACACAAGATTTAATAGGAGTAGGTACAATGATACTAATTATTCACAACTATGAATTGCGCTCCAGGACTTCACTCTTAGCTAGGAACTTTGCGAGTGACCGCTGTGGCTCACAAGGTGTCTCTCGTCGCTTTTATCTTAACGCCTTATGCATAGGGTCAGCAATCTTCTAATGCTGACTCTGCGTCTGGAGATTAACTATAGGACGAATCCTATCGTGGGACATAACAAGATATAAAATTATGACGCGATTTTCGGTTTAAGGAAGTTATAAGCTCAAGTATAAACAAAAGTTTTTCATAGAAACATAGCTTCCTTTATGAGGAAGCATAAACATTCTAAGTACATGTTAGAATGTTAACATATATGCAGCAAAACGAAAATGCAAAAATCCTATGAAAATGTGTAACTCCACACAGAATGAACAATAATCCGATATAATTAAGCTATTCGCCAAATCTTTGCCTAATCAGGAGATCTTGGAAGCGACGTGCAGCAGCAACAGGTCGAATGTCAGCATCTGGATGAAAATCATATTCATCAGCATGGTTTACATCGTCTTCTTCATGGATGACGTCATCCAATACATCGTCATTGAGTAACCGGTGATTAATGCGCATATTGTGCAAAACTGCACATGCGTTAACAATTCTTCCCGCTGTGCCAGGATCATACTGTAGGACTCAGTGTTTTGGAAGGCACCGCCAGGTACTTTTCAATACGCCGAATAGTCGCTCGATACAATTTCTTGCACTGCAAAGGGCCTCATTGTATCGAAAGCGTGGATTTTCTACAGGTTCATGTGGCAAAGGAGTAAGTAGCCAGGGTTCCAACGGGTATCCTTGGTCACATACATACAAAATTTCCGTATGTATTGTGACGTGCTGGACGACGAAAATGGCCCAGGGTCTCGCAAATACAGCTATCTCAAAAACTACGGGGTGTGGGGAACGCAAAAGAAAAAAGGGGGGGGGGACACGTGGTAGAATAAGAAAAGAAAGTATATTTAATACAGCAAATGCCGGTGTACAGAAGAAACAGAAAATAACAGGAATGAAAAGATGCTCAAAAAGAAATTAGAATGTGCGCAATGTAATAACGCAAAAGACGCAACTCTAAACTAACACGCAATCAAAACAGTACACGCGGGTGCTCGCTCGGGAGCACGCGGACTAGTGGGCGAGGGGAATCAGGGAACGGGGGAGCAAAGTATTGGCAAGGGGGCAGGAGGGACAGGAGGGAGAAAACAACAAATGGGCGCCAGCTATTTGTTCGGCGTAGCACCGTCGAGTGACCTCAGAAGGTCCTCGAATATTTACTCAAATGGGCGCCAGCTACTTATTCGGCGTAGCACCGTCGATTGACCTCAGAAGGTCCTTGAATATTTACTCAACGGGATTTGGCTAGGCTAGCGGTGGGAGAAGTGAGGGGGGTCTCAGGGAGGAAGGTTCCCGATCGCAAAATGGCTACTTTCTAAATTACCTCGGTGGGAACGCGAAAATGGGCAGGGAAAGGAGAGGGCACGGGGGTTTTCCAAAAAGGGACGCAAACTCTTCAGAACGCACGCAATATACCACGGGCCTCGAGTTGAGGGCGGAAGGCCCGTCGCAAATACAAAAAGAATCACTAGAAGAATGCCGGACCACGTGGGTCGGCTCGCTATGTCCTGAGGGGACTTACAAAAATCTAATAACGCAAACTGTAAGAGGGTGGTAGGGAAGGGGTGGCAAATAGGGAGAATTCAAGCACACCGTACTCACTCAAAGATCCGCAACACTGATAATCCAAACAAAGAAAATATAGTGCAATCCCACTATCACTCGCAATTCTCAAAAATCCACTACTTTCGCAAACAATCGCAACACGCTATCTCGCTAATGGCCTGGCTCGAAGGGGCTAAATTTCCGGTCGTCCAGGCCCTCGTGGGCCTCCAGGGCCTCGTTGATTGGCTGGGGCTGCTCAGATGAGAGGGCTACGTGCTTCGGCATTGGTTGGCAGTTCCGGCATGGCAGGGCATTGGTCCGTTTCAAATGGCTGTGTTGCCGGGCCTTCCAGGGCCTCGTGGCAACGGCACGGCGCTGGCTTTGCCGGCACGCGTGCTGGTCGCGCGCGCCGGTCAATATGGCGGCCTCCAGGCCTGTCAAAATCCTCCCGGGCACGTCCGCGGACTCGGAGGGAGAGGGCTCCGCCGCTGTCACACGGGACTTTTTCCTGCCCGTGTGACGGGACTGCACCGGGGCTGCATATATTGGTGGTGATGGTGGTGGCTGGGCATCCATCCCACGGGCGACTCGATCAGCTGTGTTTCCTGCCCATGCCATCCCTGCCTTCTGCTGCCTCGGCGACGTAGCCGCTCTCGCGGTCCTTCCAGGGATGCGGTGCTCTAGTGGCAGGTCCACGACGGTGTCCTTGTTGTTGGTGCTGGTTGTTGGTCCTCGGCGATGGTCCTCGAGCCAGTGCCCTACGGGGGAAGGGGAATGGTGCCAGAGAGGGAGGGGTGGAGGGAAGGGGTCTTATCCTTAACGTAATGACTAAAACATCTAAATAAACGCAATTAATAATACTCAACCATAAAACGCTATACTCGAGGCCTATGGGACCTCGAGCCAGGGGGCGGAGGGGAGTCTGCAGTAACATTTTTGTTACAGTATTAATATACGTTGAATGAAATTCTAACATTTTTAGTCATAGAAATGAAATAATAAATAAAATAGTACCGATGAGGAATGTTTTCCGATCGCCGCGTTGATAAGCCCTTTCCATAACGCTACGTGCAGCAGAGGCACTCCATATATACGCGTCATGCCTTGCTTCTGGATATCTTGCATTGACGTTGAGGATTTTTAAATTTGAGTCGCATATCTAAACAGTTGAATATTGAATTGGAGTTAATGTAGATGTACCTTGTATAGTTTGCATAAGTAAATAGTGAGATAAATACCATTTGCACATTTAAAGAATGATACCCATGGTGATTAATATAAGCCTCCTCGTGCTGTTTAGGAGCAAGTATTGCCAAATGGGTGCAATCTATCGCTCCTATAGCTCCATCAAATGGTTGGGAAGCAGTTTGAAATTGTTGTCTTGCTTGCTGCCTGGCCTCCATAGTCATGGGAAATTGTATCCACTGACGAAATATGTGTTCATTGATGGCATCAGTCACTCTGTGTATGCATCGACTTACTGATGGCTGGCTCATTGTTATTCCCCATTGCTCTCCTACAGGACGTTGAAAACAGCCAGTGGCATAAAATCGTACTGTTGATAATATCTAAAGCACAAAAATCGCATATTCACAGCAATCACTAATTTTAACAATTAGTAACTCCATATATTCGTTTGAAAAAGTATATATACCTGTTTTTCTACAGATAATCCCGTGATTCTGGTGTGCTGCAGATGAGGTGCTAATAAATCTACAAGGTTTGACATTAACTCTGGCGTCAAACGGTACCGTTCCGTAAATTCAGTGACAGTTAAATCGAATAGGTCTTGTGTCTCACGCAAGGCTTGCCTCTCCACTCTTCGCTCTAATAGTTGGAAACGGTTTTCTAAAGCGACTAAATAAAGGGAAAGATATCCATTAGCCATTCTGAAAAGAAATTTATGCAATCAATTGGAATATCTACATTGTGATACACATAAAATTGTATAAGAATTCCTAACCTTCAATGAACTAAGATAATCCATTGCTAAAGCAAGATTTAGATTTAGAGATGATAGAAGACTGTCATAAATATAGAGGTTAACTATAAGACCGTCAAATAACTCCAATCAATTAAACACTTTTACATGTTTAATTAGAGAGTAATACTTTAGAGTTTCATCGACATAATGTTAATATTGGCAGGTATGCATTTAATTATTATATAAAATGTGTCCGTACAATTCTTACTCTTGTGTCGCTAATAACCATTGCTGTTGGTGCGACATCAAACAAACAAATAAAAAATAAATAAAATTCTTACTCGATTACTTGTTGTTGTTTGGCGATATAATCTTGGTGTTGGCGGGTATGTGTTTACTTATAAGTAACTATTGAAATATTAATATTTCAATCAACTTTATTTGTCAAAACGTGTGTAAAAAAAACTCTCCGTACAATTCTCACTCGAGTACTTGTCGTTTTGCTTGATGTCACTGACTGTCGATGATGGTTAACGATTATCGTTAGGCCTTAGCGAGGCGTTCGAATGCATCGCTTGCCTTTCGACAATTTTCGGAACTTAGCGATTCGATGTAACGACAAATATCGATACCTACCGCGTACAGAATAACCACTAGCGACAATCGTCGGTAGAATACGTTAACGACAGCGATAATCGTCGCTAACGAGTTACAGAATCCCGCCACTCATCTCGTACACTAATCGTATTGAACATGGTGGCAATCAATTCAGAACCCTCAATTCCTATAGTGAATGTATGAATAACTTTTTCTCATGTATAGCGGTTAATAAGATATTTCGTTCCAAACAAAGGTATAAGAGTTGATTCAAGTAAAGAGTCTCTGCGAGTTGTGCCCTGTACAGCCGGTTGCCTGTACTTGGCGCGAGACTCAACCGAGTCTCTTGATACGCTTAATGTTTTATTCCCTCTCGCCCGTTACCATTATTGACAAGATATGAGGAGATGGAGGTGAAGGAAACAAAAAAAAAAA